GGGGGCCCACTTTCCCCTTCAAGGGCATGCTCTGGTAGCACAGCCCTAGCCTCAGCACACTGGGTGACATCTCTCAGCCTCCTCACTACTGACCTTTGAGTGGGATCATTCTTTGTTGTGGAGCACTCAGGGATGTTTTACAACATCCCTGGTTTCTCTCCACTTAATGTCAGTAAATCACCCTACCCGCTGCCCCTCCAGCCACCCCAACTTTGACAACATTAAGCCTCTTCAGGCATTCCAAATGTCCCCTGGAAGGGGTTGGGGGCTCCCTGAAGGTTTTCCTAGAGATTTTCCAGATCTGAAAATAGATTTCTATAGATCTTCTCAGAAACTCAGAAAGGTCACGTCACTTAGCATTTCCTAAACTTACTTGGCTACAGGACACTTACAGTTACACAACTGATCAATTAGCACTCCTGGAAAAGGCTGGCTTAAGAAATATTCCTCACTGATCAAAGAAATTGAAGAGAACACAAAGAAATGCAGAGTTATCCCATGTTCATAGATTGAAAGAATCTCTACTACTAAAATGTCTATATTGCCTGCCAGGCACACGCCTGCAATCCCAGCATTTGGGAGGCTGAGGCAGGATTGCATATATTCAAGGCCAGCCTGGAATACATCGTGAGTTTGAGGCCAGCCTGAATTACATAGCAAGACCCTGTCTTAAAAAAAAAAGTCCATATTGCCCCAAACCATCTGCAGTATCAGTGCAACCCCTATAAAAACACCAACTACCTTCTTCACAGAACTGGAAGAAATATCGCAACTTGAAGGGTCCTGTGGGACAGCCAAATGATAATGAGCACCGCAATGCAAGCTACATGGAGAGCACTTACGGAGGACTTGCCAAAGCAAACCTGAGGGGAAACGTGCCTCCTCTGCACAAGCTTGCTTCACTTCCAACTCTTTCAAGCCAGCTACTTTGAAGGCCAGTGTTGGAAGCAGAGACATGCCCTGGAGACGGAGATTCAGACATCTGGAATTAGGTTGCCGGGGTGGTGTACTGGCCAACTTTCCACTGCTGAGACAAAATGCCTGACATCACAACTTAAAGGAGGGAAAGGTACTGTGGCTCATGGTTTCAGAGATTTCAGCCCATGGTCTGCTGGCTCCAAGGCAAAGTCATCATGGTGGAAGGGCGTGGTAGAGGAGAGCTGCCCACCTCATGACAGCCTGGAAGCGTAGTGAGAGAGAAAGAGCCAACGAGGAACGGGAAGGGGACCAGACACACCCTCAAAGGCATGTCCCCAGTGACCCATTTCCTTCACCTGGGTCCTCTTCCTTCTATTACCCCATTCAGCTATGAACTATCAATGGATTAACCCATTGGTGAGGTTAACACCCTCATGACATGGCTGGATATTGCTGCATTGGGGATCAAGCCCTCCTACACGAGTCTTTGAGGAATGCTGGATAGTTAAACAATAACATGTGGAAACTGTGGCAGGAAGTCATTTTGTCAGCGTCCTGGTGGGTCCCCAACCCCCCACCATAGACTCCTGCTCTCCTTGAGCTGCAAATGCCCTAGAAACACTTCCTTCTCTGTCCTCTAATAAGGCTTCAAATGGCTTTCTTAAATGTCACATTTCACCTGTGCAAAACCTGTGGGGAGATTCTCCTCCCACCCAGCCCCCACAGGCAGCTTCTATCCCCTGAGGGGCCATGGTGACATCTTGGGTCTCCTCATCTACTCCAGGCTAGATTCAGCATGTGGATTCATACAATGGGGTGTCTCAGCTGGATGTTTATGTGAAGTGTCAGAAGAGTCTTCTTTCTCCTTGTAGTGCTTGAGTCTAGGCAAACAAGAGATTTGGGGTTGACAAGTAGTTCTACTCAGGAAAAATGTACGCTTTCTGCCTTACATAAAACATCAGGGAAACCAGATGTATCCCCCTGAATATTTATGGTCTCACAGCTTCTTCTATTAATAATTCATTACACATCGTCATGTCTACCCATCAACAAGGACTGCAGAGCAAGGCAAGGGACGGGCGAGTGCCCCTCCCCCTCCCCAGGTCCCTGTGCCCTTACCAGACAGATGGGCAGCCACATGCCATGCTGCACCACTCTGTGAAAGATAATAAAACACACTGTGTTGGAATTTTCTGTAACAAGCCTTGATTACTTTAATAAACCACAGGGGGAATCATCAAGAAGAAAGCACTACTTTTCCAGCCCAACTTCAAAGAGGAACATTTGGCTTCTTTTGTTATTATTGGGCCAAAGATTATTGCTAAACTAGTCTATTTGAAATACATGAAAAAGCCCTTTGGCTTCCAAAGTTAGCTTTGTCTTTAGCTCCTATAGATGTTTTTGTTTCTGGTTAAAATTATATTCATTTCAAGTGTCAGAAAATATTAGAAATTGAAAATGAAGTCACTTGTAAATTCATACATTCCTGTCTGGCTTTATAAACTTCTAGGATAAATAAGCCCACACATATGTGTAAATACGTGGTCACAAAAATGGTATCCAGAGTCAGGGTGTGGCTCCAGGAGAGGGCTTGCCTCACATGCCCAAGGCCCGGGTTTGATGCCCAGCATTGAAAAAACAAAAATGAGGTGGGTATCACACTGTAAGTCCTTATTTCATCTATTTCTTCCAGTACAAATATATTGCAGTCCTCTTTCTATGTCATCACACAGGTGACAGCTTCCCAGATGTGCCTGTTATTCTGTGACATCTAAATCCCTCCTGCTCCCCTTCCCCTCCATTCCTGTGCTGTCAGAGGAAAGTCATTGCCCACAGCCCTGCCCTCCTTGTCACCTCTCCTGCTCCTGCGTAGAGCAGCAGCAGTGATGACTTGGAACCTTCCCCTACAGTCATGTTAAGACCCAGGCAGAAGCAGCAAGGAGGAGTGGCCTGATGGCCAGCCCCAGACCCTCTCGCTGTGGGGTGGGAATCCTGCAAGAAGTGGGGGTTGGTCTGGAAATCCTCTTGGAGCTGCCCTGCAGGGAACCAGAAGAGCCACTTCTGGGGATTTGGGAGCTAGAGGCCCTTACCCACTGACCCTGGGTTTTGATGTCATAATAAGCATGGAGTTTCCCCAAAGCTGGGCGGTATCTGGATTATTCTCTCTGGGAACTAAAATATTGGGGAGCATCAGAGCTTCCTCCAGAGGCCAACAGCACAGCATGCGGTCACACAGCCCAAGAACAGCCTCCCGCGAGGGGCACCCTGGTCCTGCCAACTTGTACTGCTGCCTTTCCACCATGCCTGCTGTCCTGGGGGCATTCTGGCCATCTGCTATCCTGCAGGGATGCCCTTCATCCATCTCCCATCCTCCAGGGACATCCTCTGTCCATCTGATGTCTTCCAGGGGCAGTGTGCTGCCCTTGACTCCTCAGGTCACAGCCAACCCAGGCTTGGAATCCCCAGCACTGTTTTGAAGGCTCTACTGTCCGCCAATGGGATTCCCCTAAAAACCGGGTCACCTTCCTCCTTCAAGAGCCCATTGGCTGTGCTTCTTTCAAAGCACAACTCCTTTCAGAGACGAATCTGCATGTGTCTCCCATTTGGGGACTTGATCCTATCTCTGTAAAATAGAATTTCTCTCAGTGAGTGCCTCTCAATTCTTTCTCCACCCTCATCACTTTATGATCCCCATGCAAAGCAGTTTTCAATTCACTGTTGAATCTCCAAGATTGAGGGCTTTTAAAAATCTATTTTAAAGAAAAGATCTCTTTTTATTGTTTTAAAGACCCACACGAAAATGTGATTCTTTCAACACCACAAACCCATCATTCTTAAAACAAAGATTCTGTGTGCTGAATTCTCTGGTTAGTGAAGAGTTCACGCAGCTCTGCAGACCCTGGGAACAGGGCCACTGGCCAGTGTTTGTTAGGACAATAGCTCTGTCACCAGGCCACGGTCTCTGATGAGGACCTCCAACAGCAGGGATGCTCTGGCCTTGGGAGAACATTATCTAAGGTCCAGTGCTTTGGGTATAAACACGGCTGCCACCATATTAGGTGGCTGCCCTGCCACCTTCACAAAGAAACACAGAAAACAGGGGAACTCTGGCTCCAACCGCAACCACATGTGGGAGTTCAGCTGATTGTTGCCCAGGAGTGGGGGTGGTGGTGAAATCATGGTTCTCTAAGACCAAAGTGGATTTCACAGAGCTGGCACCACCTGACCCTGCCATTTCTGCTTCCTTAGCCACAGCCCTCACAATGGCTGCCACAGCAGCCCCTGGTGGTTTTCAGGGGCGGCTTTCATCCTATAACTTCATTCCCTTATCCTGTGCAGCAGCAGGATTCTTTATGGAGCTTCCTTGAAAGCGGGGAGAAAACCAGTGGGAGGTGGTTAATACCAGAAGGTCTGCCGAGAAGCAACTCTTTCTCTTAGACATTCTCTCAATACAACAAGAATTGCACTGCTTGGTTTTCTGATAAGCTGCCTCCCAATCTTCCAAGGAGGGAAATAACTATTTTGGAGAACCTAACCCTTCAATTAGGCCAGAGAGGCATAGCTAGGGAGTGGAGTGATGAGCAAAATATGCTTATTATCTTAAAGCAGCCAGGCTATGACAGGGAGAAAACACCATTCAGGATGTTTATTCCTTCCCACAGCATTCATAGCAAACAGGCATTTTTTCAGTAGTGGATTGAATCCATGTTTTTCACACTGAGCTATATTCCAAGCCCTTTTTAATATTTTATTTTTAGGCAAAGTCTCACTAAGTCACCAAGTTGTTCAGGCTGGGCCTGAACTTTTGATCTAAAGCTATTTTGGAGTAAATCTTTAGTGAATCTACTTTGGCACATGTGTAAGGAGCCTGGACTCAGCACACCAGTCATGATTCCTGGTGTCTAGCATTTCCTCATTACTCATATGCTGTGCATAAAGACAGTGTGCCCTAAATATGAGACTAAACTTCACATCAGAACCACAAAGAAATCATCACAGATTTCCTACTCTGGAAATCTTAATGGACATAATTTATTATATACAATATAATATATATTTTCATGTATTATAATAGAGAGTAATATGCATAATGTTCAATTTCTGTGTTCAAAGAATCAGGGACATTAGCGGAAAACGGAATTTTATTGCCTAAAAGCTTTCTAAATCTCACATAATGTTCAAAGTTTCTTATTGTTTTGTTTTGATTGATTTTATACGGGTTAAGTCACCAAACCTTATGAGAGAAGTGGTGTTAAAGAGTCAGATTTTTTTTATGGTTGAGAGAATAAAAGAAAATAATTCATGTAAATGTTTAGCAGGGAACCTGGTAGGCATTCGCTAGTAGATGGGTTTATTTATACTGAGAGTTGCAAAGAAGGAACAGAAGAGAAATAACCATGCTTCTTGCTTTTTGCTCTAAAGATTCATTGCATGGAGGGCTCCCACCTGTGAGCAATGGTCAGTAGGAAGACCAGAATGGGCCAGGGATTTAGCTCAGAGGCACCACACCTGCCTCGCAAGCGCAAGGTCCTGAGTTTGATCCCTGGGACCAAAAAAAAAAAAAGAAGACAGAATCCACATGGTTTAGAACATTTTGTAAGTGTTTTCATAGGATTAGGTTGGAGGGGACCTTTGTATATTCATCAATTTGATCTAGGTAAAAAAAAAAAGCTCTTAGTTTAACTTTACATTTTAAGAAACATTTGTGACTTCATGAGTTCTTCCTTAGAGATGAGATGGGATCCCACTTTTCTTCTCTGTCCAGCATGAACATGAAGATGACAGTTGGCTGAGCCCCTGATGTGAGATGCATGATCTTTGAGGCTGTTGCCCCAGGATAGTTGCCCCAGGTCTTTGGAGAACTCCTCCCTCACTTAAAGTAAAAACTCTTGAGGATGACACAAGTTGAACTTTTAGCCAACTGAAGAAATACATGGGTTTATAGAACTCTGAGGAGCTTGGAAATGCTTCATCATCTCTCTTCGGCCAAGGGTGAGTTTACTAATTGAGACAGCTTGTCAAGTGACTACTCAGGAAATAGCTCTGTCACTTTAGATTGCTATGCTTTAAAGTACTGACCCATAACTATGGTAGTAAGAGAACCCACCAACCAACAAATCCTGATTTTGCTGGCAACCAAGTATTCTGAGACTTCTGCAGAACTCCTCTGATCTGAAGATTCTTGGGATGAGTTGGGAGCCCCCTGTTCTTGGTGAGAAGTCAGCATACACACAATTCTGGAAATGCAGCTGCCTTGTTTCTGCAAATTATTCAGTTGTGTTTTTCTGACAGCTCCTTTGCTTGGCCTCTGGAGATGGGGCTGCGACCAAGTTTATGTGTTTGCACACACCTGCGTCATGACCTGACTGTCTCACCCCACCAACTACACAGCCAGTCTGTAGAGGACCAAGACCACACTTGACCTTCAGTCTATTTTCTCATTACTTATTAGTGTTGGCCTCCTGGCAGGCATTCACATGCCAACAGCAGAGCAACTACAAATCAATCAATGACCCTGCCAAAGTGCATGTGTCTGGCAAAAGTGCCTTTATCGTCACTGGCTGTGAAACTGTATTTAAGAAGTCAACAACTTCATAATAGTCATTTTACCCTAATACCATGATCTGAGGACAAAGGTTTTTGCCTGGAAACATTTCAATAAATTCCATACACATGAAATCCATTGGGAATAAGCAAGTTTGGCAGATTCTATGAAGCTAGTAGATTTTTCAATTGTTTGTGAGTTGTTATTCCAAAATGGGAGGATGTATTTAATTTGGCTCTTAACACATGGTCTAAGTGGATGGGTGGTTTATTGGAGTAAGCGAGCCAATTTGAGCAGCTGCCCTTTCATAGTTGTGTGTGTGTGTGTGTGTGTGTGTGTGCATGTGTGTAGATGTCACAAACAACCATAATGGCAATAGTCACTGTCCTCATCCATGGGGCTGTGCACTTAAATATGTTCGTGGTCAAATATTGGAAATAACCAATAAGAATTAGGGCATAGTCACTAGGACCACAGAGCAGAAATTTGAAATGAGAAAGACTACAGAAAGCTTAGAATTACGGTCTCCTTATCCCTAAAGTCCTCATAGGGCTGCTTGCTGTTTTTTTCCCACTCGTTTTCCACCTATCCCTATGCTCCACCTCCTCCCTCTTGTCTGCAGAATGGGACTTCTCCAGGCCAATGCCATGGCCATGCTGGAGTAGACTTGGGGGAGGAGCAGGCACTCGGTGGGCCAAGTCTGTGGGTGCTGGTGCAGAGTGAGGGGCAGGAGACAGGTGGGACACACCAGAGCCCTGGGTGAGGACATCTCCCCATGTGTGAGTTTGAAGAGAGGTGAGCTGAGCTCTGAGATGGCCCTGGGGCACTTGGAGAATTTGTCCACCTGTGTGGCTGCAGGGAACGTGTGGAAGAACAGGAGACCAAATTTCCACAGAGCCACGGGTCAGAGGCATTCTTGCCCTCCACTCTGATCAGTGCTGCCTGGAAAAGAAGCTCTTGAAGGCGCTGCTGTAGTTCTTGTTGAAGGCTGTGTAGATGAGGGGGTTGAAGAAGGAGTTGGAGTAGCCGAGCCAGAGGAAGATACTCTTCCAGATGGCAGGGATGTCCCAGGAACAGAGAGGCCCAACAAGCTCGGTGACAAAGAAGGGGATCCAGCACAGCACGAACACCCCTATGAGGATGCCTACCATGAGGGCTGCCCTCTGCTCCTTCTGCTCCCGCCACATGTCCCCTTCTGTCTGAAAGGTGACAGTGGCGGGGCGGACTGTGAACACCATCTGAGACTGCTGCATGGAGTCCTTCACCTGAAAGACACAAACAGCAGTGTTGTGAAGAGCCAGCGCTCCACACCTGTCAGGCTGAGCCTGGGTGTTGGTGGCCCGGGCCCTGCACATCCACTCTGAGGCAAAGCTGAATTTTCAGGCACAGGAACTTGACCACTGAGGGACTCAACTACAGAGAGAAAATGCGGTGCTGAGGCCAGGCTGTTACACGCATCTCAGAAGTGGAGGAGTGCTGGGGGCCCTTTCTGCTCAACAGACCGGATAACAGCAACAACAAGGCCTACGGCTGCAGGGATTCAGCAACAAAGGCATAATGCACAGGTGCTCCCAACTTACGGAGGGATCCCTTCCCAGGGAACCTGTTACAAACTGAAAATATCATAAGCATTTAATACTCCATCCTACCACGCGTATTGGCTTCACTGCAGAGCGTGCTATGGAGTTTAGGATGTGGCCCTTGAGATCATAGGGTGACCGGGAGCTGCATCCTTTTGCCACTGCCCAGCCTCAGGACAGAGGATGCTACTGCTAGTGAGGAAAATCGAAACTCAAATAAAAATTAAAAGGGCTGTGGACATAGCTCAGTATTCTCTAGGTCAAATCACCAGTACTGGAAAAATAAGTGTGGTAAGTCTTTATCAAACACCTGTAAACTTAGGACCAGATTTCTAAGATCTTTATGATGTTCTAGATTTCAGTGAGTCGGTTCTAAAATGATAGTGCTATTGTTAAGACACTTAGCTCTCTCTGGGTTTCTGCTGTGTGTCTCCCCACACACACCTACGTGTGTCAGAAACAGACTCCAAGGCACTGTGCTGCTGCCTTGAAAGGAGGACAACACACCACAGCCCTCTCCCTGCTCCTATGTCCTCCATGGGACAGCTTCCTACATGATGATCTCTGCCTTCATTTCCTTCTCTTGGGAAGCTGAACTCCCAGAGAAGAAAATGCCTCTCTCCAGCCAAGTCCTGTTTTTAGCTCTTAGAAGAATGGAAATCATAAGTGGCTGATGATGCAGCAACCTAAATATGAAAGAAGGACTTGGCAATGGGTTGCTTAACTAAGTTTTAACCCAAACAAGCCACAGGACAGTTTCTGGGTCAGCAGATCATTCTCATAGGTGACGCTGCCCTGGGTGTTGCCTTGCTTTTCCTCATTCCAGCCTTCTGTGGCTCAGGAGAGCAACACAGCTTCCTTGTCAGCAACATACAATCTTCTGGGTGCCAGACAAGGTGGGGAGGCCTGTCTGGAGAATTCAAACCCCTTAGCCAGTTCATGGCTGCATCTTTATCGTAATAGAGTAAAAGGATCTGATTGATTTATTACATGAAACATCTCAGGTAGTAGTAAGAATATCATACTTAAAATAGCAGAGTCACTGTATGAATTTTTGAATTTGTACGATAATCTTCCCTGCACTTATTTGAAAAACACCAAAATATCAGGTGTTGAGCAATTAAAAAGAAGATAAATACTGAAAGCATAGTGCATAACACCAGAACCCTTAAAACACATGCAAAATAAGAAGTAAAATCTCTCTGTCTGTACCCGACATTTCCTATCAAAGAGCACAAAAGGTGACACTCTTTCAGGAAAGACTCCCAAGGACAGTGACTCCATCCATAATAGATAAATAGAAGTTTTCATTTTTATTTAAAGGTTGTCATAGTAAATAATGGCTACATGGACTCTCAAAGCAAATTACACAATCAATGGTCTCACCCCCAAACAATACTCTAACCCATGTAACCATGGCTGATGGAATAGCCTGAAGTTTTCCTTTGGTCAACTACAGAGAAATCTTTCCACAGTTAGTACTTCCTGTACAACAGTCAATATTTCCTCTTAAACCTGCATTGATACACAATAAAAGAATCTATGTGAGCTAGAAGAAAAGGCAATACCTAGCTCCCTAAGAAAGACATGGAGAAACTTGAGACTTGCTTGCTTGATCAGAGCTAGGAGACCTTGGGTCACAATTTGGGAGATCATCCAGCTCTTCCACATTCTGCTCCTAGTTATATTTGTTTGTCTCATACTTGTTCAGTGTCTGTTGTCCACAACTTTACATGCACAACCCTATTCAGAGAGATGATTTAGAAAGATTGAAAGAATAGAGTACAATCATGTGTGAATCAGTGTGCAATCTCTCTCCCTCTCCCTCTCTCACCACCCCCTCAGACTGGGGACCAAACCTAGGGTCTCATGCATGCTAGGCAAGTGCTCTACCACAGAGCTACCCCAGCCCTCACCGAGCACCCTTGGCCTCAGATCCCCACAGATGAAATTTCACCCTCAATGAGAAGTGACAACAGGAGTGAGAATGTGAAGAGTCCTGGCTGGTCTCTCCTGAAGCTTTGGCTGAATGAGAACCACGAGTAGGAGACTGAGAACTAAATATTCCCACACATGTAGTAGCAGACTGGGGACCCAGGGCTGGTTTTAACCAAGTCCTTTAATCCCTTTAACCAACTCCTTTGATTAAGGATAATTCATCTCAATGAAGATGCCTTTGCAAGCCAATCTACTGATGTCTGCCCTTTGCTTCTAAAAGCCTACCAGTGATGCACTCGCTCCAATAAATTCCACTGGAGTAACAACAAAGCAATAGCTGCTCATACAGATGGTGACCACCCACTTGCACCTCAATAGCCTGAGCCCCAAAGCATGCCTTCCAGAAGCATAGTATAAGATTAGCTTTCTGCTCTCTGCACAGGGAGAGTGTGCCTAACCAGACCAGAATGGCTTTCTCACTTTGGTAAGAAATGTTTTTCTTTGTATCCTTTAATTTCAGATCTTCTGTGGTCCATCATCCTTTGATAAGTTCAAGGCCCATCTGTCTCCTGCTGCCAGCTCCCATCCCAGGGCCTGACATAGGTCAGGGGCTGTGTACACATTCAAATAAAGCTCGATGGATAAAGAAATTGGGAAGATGTGTTGTGATTTCCCTAGGTGACACAGCTAGCTGACAGTAGGACTGTATTTAGAAACTTTGGCTCCCCCTATCACAGAGCAGTCAGGAAGCCTGGTTTGCAATTATTCCTCAACATAACAGAAAGACAAAGGCAGCCCCATATTACACACAGTGCCCTGTAGCAGGTAGAGGCCTTGTAAAGCCAAGGGACTCATTGTCAAAAGTGATCTGGTGTGTGTGGGGGTAAGCAGTGTGTGCATGCGCGCAAAGGTCTTGCAATGCTTTGCTTCTGCTATCATCAAGACAAAGGTAAGGAGGCACTCTCACCCTTCACAATAAGCACAGAGAGAGAACTGGAATTGACTTTCCCTCTTAGAGCTGGGATTGGTGTTGATCATCAACCTCAGTTGCCTAAATGGGCATCCAGCTGAAGAGGATTCCTGAGATGGATCCTGCAGACGGCCAGCCCTCCTACTCCTGGCCTGGAATCTGAGTGCACTCACACACTGACCATAGGCAGCACCAGGCGCTTTGGGACATCTGACATCCTTCTCCACCGTCACTCCTTGTTCAGTGTAGAAATCTAATAGGTCAGAAGCTCCAAAATTTGATATCCTGAACATTTTGGTCTGAACAAGTCTTGGCTGCAGGGCTCCTAGATGCCATTAGCATACTGTCCCAAGTCTGGATTACCAGAAATGTCTCCAGGCCATCTAAATGTTTCCTGGGATGCAACGTCACCCTTGGCTGAGGACCACTGTCATAGATAAAAGGACAGGTAGCCTCTGAACCCTTTCCCCCCTTTTTTCTAGAACCCCCCTACTTTCCCTAGCTACATCTCTAGTCTAAGTTTGGGCAACCAGGTATGCTTAGAATTAGCTACCAACCATAGAAAATGCCAGCATACTGCAGGGCTCACAAGGGATGTCTATGTCTCTGGCCAGACCCAACTCGGCACAGGCAAAGCCCATCATTCTGTTACTTCTTCCTCAGGCCCATAGTACACACTTGGTACATTATACTGAATTGAAAGTGCTTTGTTGTTCCATAGCCCAGTAACAGAAAATGAGGCCTGTGTATGTTTCTGACCTGACTTCAGTATGTGAATGAGGTTCAGAACAAGCCTTGGTAATTAGTAAGGAAGGGGTGGGGAAGAAGTCTCCATGTCCAATAGATTCCATTTTGATGTGGCTACAGAATATTGCAGCATAGAGTCAGATTATTAAGAGTTGACAAAAAACAGGAAAGTGTGGGTGAGGAGAAAATTTTTTTTACAAAGAGCCTTCACGGTTGCTAGAGTGGTTATTGCACATTAAATGCCACTTGTGGGGAGCTGGGGAGTTGTGTATCTTGGGTTTTTAATTTCCTGCCTTAGCTTTCCTCATGGTCAGAAAGGCAGACAAGTAGTCCTTGCAGCCAATGGGGCCACAGGGAATAGACCCAGGAAGAGCCACAAAGCTCAGGAGCAGATACCAGCATAGGCACCGAGACTGGAATAAACAGTATTTGTGATCCTGCAACAGGAGGGAAAGATGCTGCCGAGTGACAGTAACCTAGGAGATGCCATATTTTGCAAAATCAGCTGCTATAATTTGCAAAGAAAAAAATGGACAGGGACAAGACTCTAAGGTGCTTTGCCTGAAGTGTGGCGATCTCCCTGTGGAGTACAGCCGCCTGCCCTCCCCCAGCACCCTCACTCCCAGTGTAGAAAGCTGGAGGTGTTTCTGGGGCGCTGACCCCAGGTGCTGTCAGCACCAACTTCTCCATATGCTTTAAAGGATCTTATGGTTCCACAGGGTTTTAGTTCCAAGGAAGACCAAGTAGAACATGTAGCTCAAACTCCTCATTCTATAGCTAAAGAAATAATCCATCAGAGGTATCAGTAGATGAGTAGCTCTGTGGTGTGAAATTTGCCAGAGAAAAGTCTCCTCCCCTTGCTTTCTCTCCCCCAGCCTGCCCTTCCCTAAGCCAAAAAGCTCCACTTTCTACCAACAGTGGGGAAGGCACCCTGGGGTACAGCCCGTGGAGATGCAAGTAAAGAACTGTTAAGGATCGCTGTGCACCCACCTCCACGGCTTCAGGCCCAGGGAAGACGCTGTTGGTCTTTCTGGCACCCATGCGAAGCTTGGCAGCCTTGTAGATCTTCCAGTACACGAAGAGCACCACGCAGAGCGGCAGGTAGAAGGCTCCCACGGTGGAGAACACGGCGTAGGAGGGCTCTCGGCTCACCTGGCACTCCTCGCGGTGCTCTGAGTACGTCTCCCCCCAGCCGAACAGCAGCGGGGCCAGAGAGATGGCCGCGGAGAGCGCCCAGGTGAGCGCAATCATCACGTTGGAGACACGCTTGCGGGCGCGGGGCGTGTACTCCAGGTGTCCTGCGATGGACCAGTAGCGGTCCAGAGCTATGGCCGTCACATTCCAGATGCTGGCCGTGCAGCACAGCACGTCGCACGCCACCCACAGCTGGCACAACTGCCGGCCCAGCTGCCAGCGGCCCCCGAACAGTTCGCGCACCAAGCTCAGGGGCATGACTAGCGCGGCCACCAGCACGTCGGAGACGGCCGTAGAGGCCACTAGGTTGTGAGGAACCCGGTGGAAGGTGCGCACTCGGAGGATGGTGGCCAGCACCAACAGATTCCAAGAGAACGTGGCCGCCACCAGAAGGCCCAGCAAGGTCAGAACAAGCACGCTGAAGACGGAGAGCAGGGGCGGGCTGGGGCGCAGGTCCTCGGCGCCCAGGCTGCGGTTGGGCTCCTGAGAGGATGGGGTAGAGAGAGGAAAAGAGAAGTTCACGGGCAGATCCATCGCTGGGGCGGGGCACCAGCCCGGTGCTCTTGTTGCAAGGGCGCTCAAGACTCCACTCGGCCCCCTGCGCTCAGAAGCTGTCTGGTTGTTCACGGCCTCTGGCCAGTGGCGAGATGTCTGGGTGGCGAAGATGGCCCCAGCCTCCTGCCCGAGCGTCCAGAGAGATGGGGTGGCCAGGTGGAGGGTGCCGGGCTGCAAGGCCAGCAGTTCGGATCCCCCAGAGGCCAGGGCAGCAGGGTCAAGGAACTGAGTCACACGTCGCAGGTTCCTCACTTCGGCGGACACGGCTGTCCAGCAGCTCAGAGCCGAGCATCCCGGGGATGGCCCTGCGGCAAGTGGGTGGTGGGTGCTCGGAGCGCGGCCCTGAGTCAGAGCCAAACCTCTCTGTTGCTCCCGCCACCGACAGCAGCCTCAGCTCCTCGCCGGGGAAGCCATGTAGGTACCTGCTCCCGGGAACTGCCTCCTGATCGGGCAGCGTACCCTCGCCACTCCGTCTGGGGCTGGGGTTCCAGAGAGGGGACTCTGGCGCGCCCACTAGATCTGCCTTATCAAAGTGGGACCAAGCCCTACGTAAAGCATCAGCTGATAAGGCCGCCTGTCCCCGCCCGGCTTCTTGCGCTGCTGTAGCGCTGTCCGCGGTGCCGCGCGCTCCACCGGCTCGGCGCTGAGGAGAGCAGAACTGAGCGGAGGCGGGGTTTGTCGCTGTCCGCGGTGCTGACACCACCGGCCCGGTGGGTCGGGGTGCTGTCCGGGGTGCTGTCCGAGGTCCTGCCGCTTTTCCTGAACTAAGTGCTCGCGTGGAACAAGTTGGCCAATGCACTTTGGTAGCCGTCCTTCTGGAGGTGGCCTGCAGATCTTCAGCCCTGTATTCTGCTTCCTGTAGTTGCGGTGTGGCATGCTGTGCTGGATTTTCTCGTCCTTATTTGAGTACCTGATTGCTTCCCTTGTACACAACTCTTGGTGGCTACCCTTAAAGTGTTTGTTTTCCTTAAAGGAGAAGAGGTAAGATGGTGTTTTCTGCTATTCTCAGAAGGTGGCTAGGTATCGGATCTAGAAAGCCTACCCCATAAAGAAGCCATGCCATCTCTCCACCCACTAAACTAAATTTGCTGCTGTGACAGGACCAATTGGATGCAAGCTGTTATAAATGTTCTATTGCATAAAAAAGGAGGGAAGCATTTAACTCAAGCTATACATATAAACAACCAGACCCACATTCACAGAAATTGAGAAAATATTAAAAGATACTACCCAGAAGTTTTTATTTTATTATCTTGCTAGTACCGGGGATCCAACCCAGGGCCTGTCCATGGTAGGCAAGCATGCCACCATTTAGTTACATCTCCAGCCCCAGAAGTTTGTTGTGGTTTACTGCACCTCACAAAGAGATATATGACATAGCGAGATGAAAGGAGTTGAAAAAAGGAAAATTATATGACAGAAAGGAAAGTAGGATAATAGTTTATAAAGGGCATTCAATGAGTATCATGAAGTCTTGCATGTACATTTACAAGTAACTTTGGCCAGAAACTTTTTAATTATTTGAAAATTTGAAACATATTCTTTTACAAGATTCTGGCTCTCACTGAGTAAAACAAGCATCAATAGAATGTGCTGAGAAGTTAATCTTCCTGTGAGAACTTCAGAGTGATGCAATGCATTTTTAAAAGCATAGCTATTCTAATGAGGGCAAAACACAGGGAGTGGATAAATATTAAGTTGTTATTGAAGTCTTCTATTTATAAGATTAGGACATGGTTTTGAAAATTGTGTGCTAGTTGCTCATATGGTGATCCTTCCATAATTATTGCCATATGTGACAAAGTCGGAACGGTAGAAGTAGAAGTCTACTAGTAATGGAGCCTGGTCCAGGTCCAGCTCATGGTTGATGCACTAGGCCACTGTACCTACTTCATGGTGGTCTCTCCAGTTTCCAAGGGTATCATCAGATCCACATTGTGGTCATTGGCAGAATCTTATGCTGATGTCTTTCTTGACCTGTGGGGTAAAAGCTACTACAGAAGTGCAGGCCAAAAGGAATCTCCAAAACTTCTCCCCCAACCTGGGAGCTGAGATATTAAATAATAACAATAGTACTCTGGAGAGGAATCTGATGGTAGTGATTTTTACCTCCTGGCCTATCCACATGTACTTCAGTTGGTCTCTACAAAAACTAGATTATAACAGACAGAGGGATCTATCACAGACTTGCCAAAGGGCTAGCTGTACTCCCACCTGTGCAGGATGAATGTGTGGGTGTATTTGCTAGAGTGGATCCACACAGCCTGCAGTATGGGATACACAGTCAGTGATCTGACCATAAGTCATTTAGATCAGTGGTTTCTGAAGTGTGCCATGACCCCTAGGGGTCTCCAGCCCCTTTCAGTGGGTCCGCAAAGTCAGGTTATTTTGACAATGATGCTGAGGGATTGTTTACTTCACTGTGTCAACTTATGTGCTGATGGTGGAAAAGTGGCAGTGGGTGTACCTGGGGGCACCTGCACACCACAGTCAATGGCATTCTTCACTGCCCTGCACCCACAAGAAAAAATGAAAAAACTGTGGATTTCACTTAAGAATGTCCTTGAGGATGTAATAAGGTCAGTAATCATGTTAGAACTTGACCTTTGAATGTTTATCCCAAACATTTGCACACCATTCTCTCCCTCAGAATACATTTCTGGAGAGCACAACCCAAGATAGCAATCTAAGTGCCTGCATGGAATGGGTGAAATTATCCTGTGAAAGATGGGAGAGAAGGAATGAAGTTATTGTTTATATCTAGATGTCCACCTAATGCCTTGTGTGCTCATACATGGGCATTTGGGAGGTGATGGGATTACAGGGCTTATTGCTGATTGCTATTAGGAGGTGGGGCCTGGCTGGAAAAGACAGTCACAGGGGGTGTGGCCTGGAAGGGTTTATCTCCCTTCCCCAATTCTCTCTTCTCTCTCTGCTTCCTGTCCATCAGCAACTCTATTCCACCAGGTCCTTCTGCTATGCTTCCCCGTCTTGGAGCCAGCTAACTATGGGGTGAAATATGAGCCAAAAGAAACTTCTCCTCCCATGAGTTGTGGGTTTCAGATAATGTGTCTTAGCTACAAGAAAAGTGACTCAGACAAAGGGGAAATAAAAAGGATTAAGATGTGTTATTTGTGAGCACCAACTCCCCGTGATGATTGGAATCATGATGTACTGCAAATGTGGACTAATAAAGATTTTTTAAATGATGAGTCCTCACACCCTGCTCATGTCTGTCAGCACTCAGCAAGTGCACCAAGCCCAGGATAGCTGACTTTCTAAAAGAGAAAATTCTTGGTACTTAGTTATATTTCTATTGGATAAGGTTTCTCCAATAGAATTATTGAGGTGAGAAGATTTTAAAGATCTCATGTTAGAAGAAGAGAGGATTCTCATTTGTTTTGTTTTGCCTTGACAATTTCTATGATGTAAGGGGCTAGATATGAACCCTCGGGTTGACATTACACTGGTGATGCTACATTATTATCCCAGGAGGTTTCTACTGGCAGCATGAGTGACATCTTCCATCACTCTTGGGACAGGGGCAAAAACCACAGTTATTCTTAGTTTGCTTTTCTCTCCCTTGCATTCCTCAGACATCAGAACAAAAATAACAGAACTCAGATCATAGGAGAGGGGTGGAGAATCACCAGGATCCTGCTGCCCCTTTTGTTGTTGTTGTTGTTGCTGTTGTGTTTTGTTTTCTTTTCTGTTTTTTTTTTGAGACAGGGTCTCACTATGTAGTTCATGCTGGCCTTGAACTTCCTATGTAGCCCAGGCTGTCCTCAGACTAATGGCCATCCTGCTGCCTTAGCCTTCCAAGTGCTGCAAATTACAGGCATGTGTCACCATGCCCAGCTTTGAAAAAAAATCCCTAAATTCCAAGGTTGTGGTATTCGGAGGTGAGGCCTTTGGGAGGTAGAGTTAGATGATGTCATGACATTGGCTCCTCATGCTGACATCAGTGGCTTTAGAAGCAGAGGAAAAGAGACCCTCAGGGCATGGTGCCTTGTCTCGCCATTCAATGACAGCAAGAAAGTCCTCACCAGACCTCTGGTCCCCACAAATCACTCTGCCTTAGATGCTTTATTACAGTAGCAGAAAACAAAGACATATACACAGTACTTAAAGCTAGAGAGTGCAGGGGATGGGAGGGGGAGGAAGAGCAGAAAGGCACAGGGGTGGGAGCTGTTGCCAGAGCTGCTACAGCAAAAGTTCTCCCCCCTCCCCCCTTCCCCTCCTCTCACGGCCGCTAGGAAGGTTGGCGCTGCCGCCACCGCCTGCAGTGGGTGACCACTCAGAAACTGCCCAAGGACATAGGGGAGGAATAAGCAGCTTGGAAATTCAGCCAAGTGATCTGGTGGGATGGGCATTTGCCTGGCAGATTTTATAGAGGAATTGGATGGCATAACTGATTAAGGTGGTATTGAGGGTTTCTGAAGCCTGAGAAAGGTAGAAACTCAACCATGATTTCTTTTTCAACTCTACAGCTTTCGCTTGCTTGAAGTCTTCATTTTTACCTTAGTCTCAGGCCATTATACTTAAGCATGAACATTACCAAAACCCTGAAAGGATTGTTTCTTACATGTGGCGGCATAGACAAAATTCAGTCTTCCAGGGCAGTGGTTGTAATGGGTGGAGTGTCTGGCCAGTCTACTGTTTCTGGAGAACTGCAGGAGTCAGTACTTCCAGATTGAAGTCCGCCTAACCAGGAGGTCCTCGCTGCGGATGAAGTGTTACAAGAGAGTGAAATGAGGCAGCAGGACATGGTTTCACATGATGAACTCATGGTCCATGAGGAGACGGTGAAAATCGATGAAGAACAGATGGAAACACATGAAAGGCCTCCTCAAGGACTACAGTATCAACTTAATGTCCCTATAAGTGTAAAGCAGGAAATTATTTTTACTGATGTATCTGAGCAGTTGATGAGAGACAAAAAACAAAACAGAGAGCCAGTAGACTTACAGAAAAAGAAGAAGCAGAAACAGCATTCTCCTGAAAAAATCCTTACAATAAATGAGGATGGATCACTTGGTTTGAAAAGCCCTAAATCTCATGTTTGTGAGTACTGCAATGCTGCCTTTAGAATGAACTGTCACTTACAGAGACATGTCTTCATTCATACAGGTGAAAAACCATTTCAATGTAGTAAATGTGACATGCATTTCATACAGAAGTACCTGCTACAGAGGCATGAGAAGATTCACACCGGTGAAAAACCATCTCACTGTGATGAATGTGGTATGAGATTCATACAAAAGTATCATATGGAAAGGCATGAGAGAACTTATAGTGGAGAAAAACCTTACCAGTGTGAATCCTGTTTACAGTATTTTTCCAGAACAGATCATGTATTGAAACGTAAACGTATTTGCAATGAAAATCATGACAAAAAATTAAACAGATGTGCCATCAAAGGTGGCCTTCTGACATCTGAGCAAGATTCTGGCTTTTCTACATCACCAAAAGATAACTCACTGCCAAAAGAGAGTGCAGGGGGCTCTCCTGGGGGGACTCAGGGAATGCCCCCTTCACCTAGGCCATCCAGGAGGAACTGCTGGAGTTGGGTATGGTGGCACACACCTGTAATCCCAGTA